AAATAAAGTTCATTGTTTGTTCCAAGTCATTGTCTTTTTCAGACAAAATTTCAGCAGCCTCCCAGCGTCTCCCTCGTTTAGGGGAAAAAACCAAGAAAGACGTGCACGATCGGTGTTTTGAGACACTGCGACCGTAATTTTCGCCATCCACCATGTCAAGAAAGGCATGCATGTGTCTTTAAAAGACGATATTTAAAAAAAATAGTTCTTTCCCCGCTTACGGGTACTTATATTTTTGCCCCGCCATGCTAAGAAAAGCGCGCATAGCGGCCTACTTCGTTGTAAGTACCACACCAAGTTCCCTCCCACCACGCTAAGAAAACTGTGCATGGGTGGTCCCTTCGCGCGCCACGAACATCGAAAAAGGACTTTATGGGCATTACCCGTCTCGTCACAAGCACCGGAGCGAACTTCCTCCCACCGTGCTAAGAAAAACGCTCATGGGTGGTTATTCGCCCTGTTGCAAGTGCCGAGAGCGGGTTCTCCCAAGTTTAGGAGGTTAAACCTTGGCGACTGGCGGCGACGAAAAAAGCATACAAATATATTTCATCTTTTTTATTCTTTTCTTTCTTCTTTTCTCTTTTCTTTCATTTTTTTCTTAGCAACAACAACAACAATAATAATAATAATAACAATACAACAAATAATAATAACAAAACAAATACATGAGCCAAGTTTTGGCATGATCTCAGTAAATGCAGCGAAGCATGGATAAATACTCCTTTGTTGAATGTGTATGGTGTCAACAATTCTACTAGAGTCCTCTATAGTGATGATAGTATGATCTCAAGCAAAATGGGAGCTGCCCTCACTTCAACAATTGCACAGTTGCATGACAAACCTTTGAATGTCTTCAAACAATTTATTAGTAACAGCTCCGGACTCTTTAAATGGACATGACATGGAGTGCCAAACCAATTCACTTGGGCGAACTACATTACTTGTCTTCAGGAATAATAGACCCACAGTTCTTAAGTTTCAAAAATGCAGGAAATGTTGAGAAGAAATCAAATGCCATTGGAATAGACATAGCTTTCAGTTCTTCCTGAATGGAAGAGTATCATCTGATTGGCATTATCACTTAAATATTTCTTTCTATTGGATCATTCTTTCATTATGCGACTATTTTATAAAAAATCCTAACCAACTGACAGTTCACAAATGCCTAAATCCCCCTTAACGGAAAGCCCACTTGAGCGTTTCTGGAATTAGCTTTTAATCGAATTTGAAGCCCAATTTTCTTTTATATCTAATGTAATGTTCCTTGCACCTACATCTATGCATCGTCATCAAATTTATCAATTTAGATTTTATCTTCCATCATTGGCATCATTATTCCCCTAGACTTTAGTATTGTAAAGCCTCCTAAATCCTTAACCTCCCAAAATTTCACTTCCAATAATCTTCAAATTCCACATGATAGTGCATGAAAAAAGACTTGTGTATAGCTAGATTTTCATTTTTATCATCATCATCATCATTTTTTTAATTTATATGATTTTGTTATTATTACATATTTATTTTTATTTTTTAATTAATTTTGTGTGGGGTCCTTTGTTTGTTCAAAATTTCATCAACCTCCTAACATCCCACCCCTCATGTAGGAGCTGTCGGGTAGGCATTTGCCTTTATTCGTCGATCGAATCAAAGATAAGACGGCATGATGTCTTCGTATATTCATTTCTCAAAGCCAAATCAAAGATACAATGGCATTGGTCTTCTTTAGTTCTTCTCTTGGCCAAATAAAAAATATAACGTCGAATCTTCAATACATGTTGTTTAAGCAAGAAAGAAAGAAAATAAATTTATAATTGTTAGTTAAAGAAGAATGGTGACGACGACGACCGGTTTGAAGGCCAATGGCCAGATGTTAGGACGATAAGGAGAGCAGGAGACTAGGTCGGGTCGATCGAGTACAAAAGGTTGTGAAAGAGAGCGGGAGTCCGGGTTGGTTAGCAGGAGCACACGAGCATGGGTCTCGGGTCGGAATCGCTGGAGCGGGTGCCAGAGGGCTTGTTCATGAGCGTGCGTTTATCGATTGGGGACGGAACAACGGGCTCGGAGTCTGGCTAGGTCGCTCGCATGCGGGAAGGAATCAGAGATGGGAGCAATGGTGGTGTTGGCGGGGTCGTGAGTGCGTGAGAGCGAACGGACAGAGGGAATTGAGGCCTCTTGCATGCATCTGATGGAGATTAGAGAGAACAACTAGTGAGCGATTTTGTGCGTAACAGTCGAATGCTCTTCTGAATAGGTCATGCATGCCATTTTGAGGAAATGTACGAGTAGTTGTGTCGTTTGAGCGAATACTTGTGTTGTTTGAGAGCAAACCGCGTGAGGTGGTGCCGCGACGTGGGATGGTTCGAACGGGTTGGTTGGGATGAAGGTGCAAGTGGCTGAGTTTGGGCGAATCAGGTCTGGAGGGGCTTAGTGGTCAATAACTTCATGGGCACGAACAATGCAATCAAGAGTTCCTCTTACTTCAATAAAAACTCTTTGGGATTGATAACCCATATAGTGAAGATGGGGTTTAAGCCAATACTTTGGGGAAGATTCTGAAAATCCCATTAAGGAGACAAAAACAACAATAACAACATCAAGTCTTTATCCCACTATGTGGAGTCGTCACATGAAACTTTTTTCTCCATTGTGTCCTATTAAAAGTTAAATTCTCATTTAAATCTAATAAAGAAATATCATTTCTAATATTTTATAACACAGTCTTTTTAGGTATGCCTCTCCATTTCTTAACATAAGTCAAATCTAATACATCTACTTTCCTAACCGGATCATCAGAAGGCTACAGTTTTATGTGATCAAACCATCTAAGGAGACTCTCTCTAATCTTATCTTCCACTAGAGCTACTCCAAAATTTTCAAGTATATGCTCATTTCGTATCTTGTCTCCAAGAGTAAAGCCACTAATCCGCCCGGACATCCTCATCTCTACAACACTTTACTAAAAATTATGCTTCTTTTTTAATGGTCAACATTATGCATCATAAAGCATTGTTGGTCTAACCACCATCTTATAGAATTTTCCCTTAAGTTTGAGAGAGACTTTTCTATCACTCAACAAGCCCGATGCATTCCTCCACTTGAACAATCCAACTTGAATTCTACTAATAATATCCATCAATTTCACCATCACTCTGAACAATAGACCCAATATATCCAAAAACATGTACTCTTATTAATGACTTGATCACCCAGAGTTACAATTAAGGAGACTAATAGGTCCAAAATCTTTAGAAACTCTCATATCTGTTTCATAAAAAAGGGAAAATAATAGCATAACTCAACCTATTGAGAGAGGCCTTACTGAAGAATATATCCTTAAATGCATGCCTTCATTAAATCAAGATAAATAGAACCTCATCTCTCCTAAAGAACCTAAATATAAAAACCATTCAGGCCAGAAGATTAGTTTGCACCCAAATCAGATGTAACAACTAATTTTCCCCAATTTTAAAGGTGAGTCCAACAGAGAGAGTGGTCATAGTAAGAATAAAGCTTACAAAAATTGATCGAATACTTGTCAAGAATGTTCTTGCAGAATTGTTTTTTAAAAGTAAAGGTTAAAGGCATCAAGTAATTCTTTTTTATCAGAATTCTTCCAAAAATCGTTTGAAATTATCTTTGATACCAATAAATTTCCTCTTTCCAAAGTTTACAGAGCCATTACTAACTTGTTTTAGCTCTAATTTCAATTTCAATGAGTTTACTGAACATTGAATTTTTTTTCTCCCCCAATCTCATTTCATAAGCATTAAAACACCTAAGAAATCCAAGCATCAAAAAAGGCTTTTGACCCACTATCTTGAATATAGAAATTCTTCTACCATTTTGGAAATCATTTATTTAAAGTTATCCAAATTAAACTAACAATTTTCAAATCAAAATTAGTGGCATTTGCAAAATGGTGGTCAGAATTAAAGATAATCAAACAATGATCATGGAAGAATTTTTTTATCACTTTTTGTCCACCATTAGAAAAGAGAGCAATGAAGAAAAAACATAATGAAACAACCTAATCTAAAATGATGAAGACTACATGAAAAATGACATGTTTAGAATGCTAAATTAAAATCCACATATTAAAAAAACAAGGCCCGAAGGGTACAATAAACAATATGAACCAACACATCCATACAAATTAACACATTCCTATGGAATTTAATATCAAGCCAACATTCAACGCAAAATCATGACATTCAATGAGATACAAATGTGATGACAAGAAGATGCTTACAACAATTCTAAAGATAAAAAGAAAAATCCTTTCCTGCTTCATTGTTTATACACATGGTTAGATCATGACATGCACACATACAAAGAATTACTTTAGTATGCAACACGTTAAAATGGGAAAACCTTGGAGTTGGATACATATCAAAATTACCACATTGGGCAATTACAATTTAAGTCAAAAAAAAAAAAAATGCAACCAATGTTGACTGCAACATCTCAAAACATATCAGAAATTACCACATTCCAAGAAAATATACATCTTCAACAAGGACTGAACGAGTGTGAGGAAAAGAAACACGTTGAAATGATTGGACATTTTCATAATAAATTCCATTCAAGTTGACAAACTGCAGCATGTGTACTTTTTCTTTCTTTTATGAAGAAGAAGACGAAGAAAAAGCTGGACCTAAACCTCCCACATTAATGAAGAACAAAAAGAAGGGTATCTAGACAGCAAACAACAGTCGGTCATTATAAATCATAGAAGCTGACTATTAAAAGAAATATTAAAAAAAACTGTACCATGAAATGCGGGCAACATCCTGATCTTAAACTAATATCAAGCTTGTCTAAAGCAGACATTTATGTGGTAATTAACAATGGACTAAGATGGAATTTGAACTAACAATAATCAATTAACAGGTTAATTAAAAAAACAGAGACAACAGCATCGAATTTAGATAGTTTAAGCTAGATTTTTGCCTCAATGCAAATATTACTAGAAAACATACTCAATGTGATAAGCAGACTACCTCGGAAGCTGTATGTGCCAATGCATATGCTGCATCAATTCTAACCCTCCAAAAAGCCTGAAAACGAAGCAGTTAGTCAACAAGTAAAAACATGAAAGAGGTCCAATGAATGTCATTCCAGCAGTGACAAGACCTTTGAGTCGCTAAGGAAGTTGTTCAAAGCATTAACCACTGCAAACGAATGTTCTGGTAGATTTTTTAGCGCTTCAATTGCCTGTGCTTGAGCAACCACATCTTTTTCTTTCTCTAACTGATTGATCTGGAAATATCATATAATTAATAAACGAAATAACAAAATAAATAATGCATCAAATGATCAAAAGAAACAAGCTTTTCAAGAACCAGCACACAATTTGCGGGTACTTGCATTCGTCAATACTCATTTCAGAGGCATGAAAAAAGATACATGAACAGGCAACATTGTATAAATATGTTTTGATGGAAATTCCAAACAAAAAGTAATAAAAAAAAAATACAAAGCATATACAAAAATAATACTACATGACCACAAACAAGAAGTGGATCAAGAAAAGGGTAAGAATAAAAGTAGTGAGAAAAAGGATCTACACATAGAAAGGTCCAAGAATGGATCTTGCAGAATAATTGCTGAACAAGAACCAAACTTTTTATATTGTTAATCATGTAGATTACACGCTTACCCACATATGAATGGGCTGATGAAAATGAACATCAGCCAGAAATTCCATCTCAGGGTCCACACGGATCCATAACAATGGAGAATCCATACTGCAGAAAAATATATTTATAATTCTTTGACAAAAAATAAAATACCAGAAGACAAAGAACACCGATACTTAAAAGCTATAGCTATCACCTTGTCCGCATATCTTGACTAGGAACAGTATCAGTATTATCATCAGATCCATCAGCTTTTGAACCCTTCTTTGGTTTCAGAATTCTTTTAGCAGCTAGCTTAGAGTGGCACTGTATCTCTAGCAGTTGGCAAGCTTCCCCAGCCATAGGCAGAATTGGGTGATCATACATTCCATCAAGCTCATGAATTCTAATGCTCATCATTCCAGGCCAACCAGTATCACTATCTTGGTTTTCATTAGATCCAACCTTCACGGTGCAGCCTCTAAGGACAGCCAATTCAACCATGTTCCTCCTCTTGTTATAAGAGAATCCCATCCTTTAACGAAACAAAACTAAAAAGTAAGAACTAAATTATTAATATATAAAACACAAAATGGAAATAAAAGGAAGCGAAAAAGTAAAACCTTAATACGGGGCATCCACAAGACTCTATCCAGCGAGGAAAAAAATCCTTAAGAAATGGACGTTCAAGGTTGCCAACTTTATTAGCCAGATGCCTGAACTGAATAATAGAAAATGAAAGAATTTGTCAGCAAATAGGACGACACAAAAAACCAGTAGAAAAAGGAGGTGTTGACCCATCTGCTGTACCGAAAAAACAAAAGAAAAAAAAATCGTGCGTACCTCGCTGCCATCCCACGACCTACGCACGTCGTTCGCACGATCGACATCCCTTCTCCCACGACTCTGCCGCGTTGTTAAAATGAGCACGAAGTGCTCTCTTTCGCGTTTCTTCCTCTTCTCCACGCGACTCCGCTCCCTGGACCCCACAGGAAGCCTGAACTCATGAATAGCAGGCAAGATTGTGAGGACAAGGGCAGAAAACAAAGATTAATGTCAACTAAAATAGCTGCACAATACCATCATAGTAATTAGATTAATGAATTCTAGTCGGCGTCAGTCTGATAAAATTCATTCTCCAATCGTTACTACTAAGTACTACATAATCGGATGTACCTTAATTGGTGTTACTTATTAAGAAGATGACGAGTTTCTTCTCAGAACGAATGTATAAGCAAGTATAGCAGATACACCTTTTACTTTGCAAAATACCAATCTAAAAGATTCTTAGCTTATCCTGCTGCAACTGCCATTTGAATAGACTAAGCCAAGTCATTGAGACCATGAATTCAATTCAGAGACTAATAATATGAATCCCTAAGCCATAGATATGACAACACCCACCCTCAACCCCAATAAATAAGAAAAACTTAAGGGAAAACCCATAATAAGAAATAAAGCTAAGAAAATATTACTTTTATAAGAGAGCAATTTGTACTTTCTAATATGATTACTTAAGCCAGGGATCTGAAAATATTCCCTCAACCCCAAGAAAAAAAAAGAAAAATCAAAGAAAATCCAAAATAATAAATAAAGCAAAATAAAGGTTTCTTTCATGAGAGAGCATTCAGAAACCTGTGGCCATCATATCAGATACCAATAAAGATCATCTACATTATTTGCCCTCAAATATAAGTTCTGGCAGAATACAATTAAAGAGAATAGACATTAAGCAAATGATAATATTGAATGTTTTTATGCAAGATGCCAAATGCTAGACTCAATCATTCAAAAAATTTGTTTGAAGAAAAAAATACAATCTTTTCAATCATCTTCAAAATCTTTTTCAGATGAAGTAAACTTTCTGCCATTTTTTTAATCATTTAAAATATTTATTTCATTATGGAGCTGTATTTGGCAGTATTTTGAAGCAAAGTGTTTTTATTTTACATTTTACACATTAGATTTTGCCTTCCCTATTTGAAAACTAAATTTACTCTTCTAATTCTAGCTCACAACCCTCTAGGTACTTCTATTCTCTCTACTGTGCTTGTTAAAAATCAACTCCATCCAAATTACAATTATCCTTCATTATAACAATTTAGCACTTCATCCTTCCTATAAATGGCCGTGTTGGGTTGTTGACCATAACTGAGAACTCCCTGACTTTAGCTTTGCCTCTATAACTAAAAAGCCTCAATTAAATCAAGTTTGTTCAAGAACAAACACAGACAAAAGTGGGAATTATTAATATGCCCAATCTACTCGCAAGTCAACAACAACAAGCCTTCCACCTAGTACGTGGGGTCAGCGACATGAATCATTTTTCTCCGATCTATTCACAAGCCAAGCACACAAAATTTTATATCCACCCCATGAAATAATAAAAAACAATATTTGCAATATAATAAGGTTAATTAAATTATAATTAGGCTGATTAAAATTTGACAAAGTCAATTCATACATGAATTTTGTAATTGGGGCCTTTAAATATTTCAGTTGAACCCAATTCTTAAAATTAGAGTTTTACTTTTCTTAACTAACCCTAGATATTCAATCAAGTTGATTGACCCAATTATGAGATTTACAACTTCATAACAAAGATAAAAACAAACTTGATAAATATAAGAAACATGTCACTAGTACTACAAGAAAATAATTTAAAGAGGTCTGACATCAAAATAGCATGATCAAATATATTGCTTCAAGTTAAAGATTAGCTAGGTAATCATTTGCTAATTTGTCCAGTCTTTTTTAAATTTCACTGTGATTTTGTTCTGCCAACTTAAATATTTGCTGGATGTGATTTACAAGCTTTGAATTAATTCTATACATAAAGGAGACATAAAACTTCATTACCTTACTTTTTTATGCAACAAAGTTGATAGATATATTTCTGTGTACACAAAACCATTTCTTGAAATTTTGAAATATAGCTATTAATGAACTCAGGTTTCAATTGTTTGCCGAGACAGTGAAAATCAACTCGCACACAGATTTGGTTATCACAGAGCTCAATGCAACCCACCAAGTATAACAATCACTGGATATGATATTGCTACCCATGATCAAAGAGCCATTATAGTCGGCGAGAGGGAGAAATATTCAAGGAGAAATATTCAACTTATAAACTAGTTCCTGACGTCTAAATAAATGGACCAAACTTATTTAAGAACTTCCAAAACTCTTCCAAAAAACTTTTCAATGATAATTTCACAGCAAATTCAATTAAAAACAATATATTAAATAACCAAAACCATTCCAAAATTAAGAAACTTATGCTAGAAAATACAATAGATTATAAAGTTTGAAGAAGTTTACATGAAGCACACAAACGACAATGAAAAGTTGATAGCACAAGATCATACACTGATAGATACTAAATCATCCAATATGAATAATAGAAAGATCTTATAGCAAACCAATGTGACAACAAAATAAAATAGCCATGTCCTAGTTAGAATAAGTGCTTATAGTTGGTATGCTCAATAAGTTATCTAAATCAACCAATTGAAACTAACAGTGACACAGAACAAAGGACACATTTTCCTAAAAGCAGAAGATGATGAAACATGCTAACCTCCTTTGTACTAAGAGCTCTTGTGAGGTGGCACGGATCTGGAGCCCTTTCAACAATGACCTGGAGGATCTGGACATTTTAAAAAATGAGGAATAAGACAAGAACGCAGGCATTATGTGGGGATGAATCAGTAAACTAGATCCACGAATTATTCAAGATACATTAAGTTCAAGAATGCAATAAACTGTCGAAAGAACTAGAAGTTGAAGAAAAATAAAGTATTTTAATCAGCAAATGTCATTAACAAAGAATTTTATAAAACCTCCATATAACTTATCCAATTGATGAGACGGGATATTATTTTTAAGCATGTTATTCAAATCCCCTAATTTTTACTTATTTACGAACAAGAATAATTTAAATGAATTAATCTAATTATAATTAAATTCTCTCTTCAATTATCTTATTCTACCTCCCTTTCCATTGTTTTCCCCTCCAATGCACCTCAATTCACATGCTCCAGCAGCTACATCGACCTTGCATGATGTTAAGAAAGAATTACAATAGTATCCTACACGGGGTCATGAAAACCCATAAAAAGAGTCACAAAAGCGAGCTCCAAATCCACAAGAATCCAATGGAATAATGCAAATGAGATCTAGCTGACACCTCCTTTCCATCTTGGTTGACCAATAATAACAACAAGCCTTTATCCCATTATGTGAGGTCAACTACATGAATCCTCTTTCTCCATTGTGTCATATTAAGAGTAAAACTCTCATTTAAATCTAATAAAATTTTCTTGGATGGCCCTCAAAATAAAAAATGAGAGATATGCCATCAAATACCGAATGATATATAAAAGACAAAAATGAATTAACACCATCCCAATTCCCTAAACCTGAGACTGAGTGCATCCATTTCATGGATGCTAGTGATGTCACTAATGACGAAGAATTCTTTGAGGATGGAACATAAGTGATTGAGTCAGACCTTCAGAATGACTTAAACCCTGAGCTAAGAAAGTTAGAACATGTAAACATCGACACCTTAACTCACCCTGATCCTAGTCTTCTCGAGGATAAGCCTTTGGACAAAGTATGCCTGGATGATAGTAATGTGACATCGAAAGGAGCTAATCAGACGTCGAACACTTTGAATTTGAATTTGGAAGATCCTGATTTAGTTGTAACACCTACTGAGATGACTCCGGATAATTTTGATAATTCTGATTTAATTTTGGATAATTCTGATTTAATTATAGATAATTCTGATGGTGACTTAGATAATCTTGAGTTGGAAGTAAGTCAATCGAATTTATCGCAGGAGTTAAGTGAAACGGAACCCATGGATATTAGGGTTGCAACCAAACCTGAGTCTCTTTCGGAAGACTGTACTTTGAGTCTAAAAGTTTTTAAGCCTGATTTGAACAACGAGCCCCCTTTTATTTCATTAGAGTCTAACTTTGGAGCTACTCATTTAGAGTTATATTTAGCAAAGTGTGTCTTTCTCGATTTGACTTACCTCACTGCTTCTTGTACCAACTTTAATATTCGACAAAGCGTGAGCCCTATACCGTCTGATGAATCTTTGAGCAATCCCCTTATGGATGTGAGTCAGGACCAATCATCCTATTTTACTCCTGATTCCTACTTTTTGTCCGTTATAGCCTCGCCCTGCCCTGATGAGGACCATCTCTGTCCTAGTTGGATTAATCTGTTCAATTACATTACCCCCACTAGAAGACTACCTACGACTTTAACTGAGACTTCCCATAGAAGTACCCTGGTAGCTAAGAATGTCTTCATTACTCCTCCTACACCAGTTCCCTTAGACCGAACACTTTAGACCTCTTGTGAGACTCATCCACCTGTTCTAGCATCGTGTTCGTGTGAGTTAGTATGTTGTGTGAGTGTTGTAGTCTGTTGTCTTCCTAATTTGTCTGTTGTTTTAAACTTTTGTAAGCTCATAAGTCTTGTCAATCTTCTTGCACACTCGATCTCTTGCATTTGCATCTGCATGTAATCTTCAGGAGTTACTCAATGAAATTAAAAAGAAGATTGAACAAAGTAACGCCCATTTTAAAATTATTGCTGATAACAAAAGATGGTTCAAAGAATTCAAAGTTGAAGACTTTGTGATGGTACGAGAAGTTGCATGCTCGAGGCACCGGACCATTTAAGATAATTTCAAAGGTTAATAGTAATGCCTACGTACTGGACCTCTCTTGAGGCTTTAACATGAATCCTACATTTAATATAGAAGACCTATTAGCCTTTGAAGGACCCGAATCTTAACCTCAAAATCCACTCCTTAAATTAGCCTTGTGTGACCCCACCTGGTGAGATCCCCCAACCTAGCTCCACTCCCCAATTTACCTTACTCACCAATAGCGGAGAAGATCGAAGCAATACTAGATGATGAGGTCATTTCCACAAAGGAAAGTGGGCGCCGACGATACTGAGTTCATTGGAAAGGGACACCGGAGATAGAGGATACTTGGATTGACAGGGACGAGCTACAGAGCCTAGACCCAGATCTCCTAGAGTTGTACGAGGGCTCCATAGATATCTACTCGACGGGGTCGAGTTTTCTCCCACCCGGGGAGAATGATGAAGACATCGTCAGCATTTTTGATGCCGGAGATCGATGGCCATGAGCATGAGTTGTATTTTCATTATTTTATGTAGTAGTTTATTTTTATTTTATGTTTTTCCGTTTTTGCCCTTATGGTATTTGGTCGCTATTGAAGCCCAAGGGGCATTTTAGTCTTTTGCGTTCTTTGTCATTTTAAGGCCTATTTATATGGACCTCTTCTTATGTAATAGTAGTTTTTGATGAAATGAAAATTCGCTCTTTGTTCTCTTTGTGAGTTCATGAAACCTCTAAAGATCTCTTTGTGAGTTCTTAAAGAGGAGACCGTCGGAGATCTCTTTGTGAGTTCTACCGGTGGATTGGTGTTCAAGGTTTGTCATTTGAAATTTCTTTGTTCTTCTCCCCAATCTTTTCTCCCCCACTTAGCCGAAATCCCCTTCTTTTTCTCAATTCCCCACCACCACCCAAGCTCCACCGCCGGCCTCCCTTGGCTGGCCCAGCCACCAGCGGCCTTCCCTGCGACCAAGCAGCCGGCCTTCCTCCCTCCCACTCCCACAGCCACTCCACGTCTAACCACCAGCAACCTATTTCAAAATTTGAACTTCAATGCAAAACCTTAATTCCTTTCCTATTCTACAGCCCCTTCTATTAGGAAAGTTAGCCTATTTTATTTCTTCTCATTTAATGGAAGAATTCCAACGTCTCTAAAGGCAAGTTAATGAGGAAATCTTCCTGTGATAGCAAACCTGATAATTAAATGTCAGAATTAATAATTCCCTGATTTTCTCAGGAGAGGTCACGTCATTAATCTGATGGCTCTCTCAACTCCTCATGGGGCCGGCCACCTCCTCCTCTTTTCTCTCTCCAATCCCCACTTAATTACTACTTAAATGCCTCTTTAATTCCCCTCCCTCTCTTTCTCTTATTTCAAATTTCAAATCTGAAATGGAAACTAAAGCTGCAATTTTATTTGGAATCTAAAGTAAACTTCAGATTTGGAAATTAAAGCCTGCTGTCCTGCACCATTGGAGACCTAGAATTGCTGTCCAAACACTTCTAGCACCCGATAACAGCTGTCCAAGATTTGTATAGGCATTATATGCTGCCGTCCAGACCTCCTTAAGGACCAAACTGCTGTCCAGGCTTTCATAGTGGCGGATCAGACAATCCTAGCTGCTGCACAGTGAGACCACAACAGGAATATTGCTGTGATTGCTGTCCAGCAGGCCTCTGACCACCATTCAGAATGTTTCTAGACTACATCGACCGTATCCAGTACGCCTTAGTTGACGTGATCGACGAGTAAAGGTCAAAGGGACATCGGATCATCATTGGACGACAATCATCCTCCACCACTCCGTTTACCTATCCAAGAACGACGATCCTAGGTTCCTTCTTCCTCGGAGCGACCTCGATTCTAATGTAGAGATTCTTCTTCCACTAAAGCCTAAACTATTTGAGCGTATGGGCTCCAAAGGTGAAAGCTCACTTTATTAAATCATGGATTCTTGTTTACTGTCGTAGCATACAATTATTCTTGGTGTTTTCTTAAATTGTTTGGTTAATCGATGTCACTCTTCGTTGCCTAAACGAGTTAAAAACTAAGAGTTCTAAGGATCACTCTTTTATTATAAATGATAATTTTATTTTGGGTTATTAAGTTACAATTGATCTCTTTAATTTCTTAAAGTAACTCCTCCATCGCATTTTGTTTCACATCATAAATCCCCCAAGTAGAAAATTGCTACCATCAACCATTTTTAATACATTAACTAAAAGTCTTGTGATCTTAAGGTGCATAATTAACATTACGCAAAAAAGAGTAATCATTCATTAAAACAAAAATTTCTTTCGTGCCCAATAATTGTTTATACCAATTTTCATAAAAAGACGTGGACTCCTAAGGTTGTCGTAAGTCCTTAAATAACAGCGAAGTCAAATAAGGTGCAACAAATCTAGTAATTGCAAGCCAAATATTCCTTTAATTGTGAACTTGATCAAACTCAACACCCAAGAATGGTTAAAAACAAATTTGCATGCTATGTTTTCCTTTCAACATAGCAGATTTATGTAACGGCAACTGTCCCAAGTTCTCAAGAACTAAATTAAGGCAATGAACAGCACATAAGAGTCTAGTAAATATGCCTCCTTTTCTCTATTAACAAATCACTATGTCTTAGGCACGTCCATTATCTGTCTCGAACAACCAAGTTACATCATATTTTTTTAACAACCTCATCAATGATTTAAAATAGCAGTTGTGTATTTTTTTACAAAGACTAATGTATAAACATATTTTAGAAATATAATCTTATAAAGGTTGTTAATAAGGAAGTTTATAATCCTCTGTTAACTAATGTCTGACCAACCAACAGGAATTATTGTAACTACAAGTGTAAGAAACTCAAGCCGAGTCGTGTGTCGGTCAAGCAAGGCTCGATAAATGGCTAATAAGCCAATCTTGATGAGCTAACGAGCTACGCATGACCCAGCCTCAGTTCAACTCGTTAAATCGCGAGCAAATTCATTAAAGGCATCAACAAACTTTAGAAATATAGTATTATAAAGATTGTTAATAAAAAAGTTTATAATCCTCCGTTATCTAATGTCTAACCAACCAACTGACATTTTTGTAACTAAAAGTGTAAGTGAGCCAAGACGACTCTTGAGCTAGTCAAGCACGGCTCGATAAATGGCTCATGAGTCAAGCTTGATGAACTAACAAGCTAAACTTGTTGAGCTAGCTAAGGCTCAACTTGTTAAATCGATAGCTGACTAATTAAAAATATACTTAAAATATATTAAAAATCAGAAGCTCAAGCATAAAGTTATTAAAAATATTGAGCTAAAACTTAATTAATAAATTTAAAGTCACATGGTACCATAAAGCTTGAGCTCAAACTCAATTAATTAATCAGACTCAAGCTAGTGGTAACTCGAACTCAGCTCGCTCGCTCCCACTCTTAATTGTAACTCTTGTCTCAACACATATCTTCTTCACATCATTATGCATCTAAGATCCAAATTCCCAGCTCATACCTTCTAGGAAAATCTACTCCTAAATCATAAATCCGAACATATTGAAGCATATCCACATTTAATGGAATATCATTCAAATAAAAATGTTTTGCAACACCTACTCACACTTTATTTCTATGTTCCTTCGTAGAAGTTGGAAGAGTAAATACCAAAGAGCTAATATTTTCATCTTCATCCGTAATCAAAACAAATATATGCATTGGCCCCCAAGTTCCTCTATCAAAAGAAAGAAAAAGACTTCCATTACTAAAGTCATCTACTTGAATTAAACTAACCATGAAGCATTACAATCTAACGCAGAGAGAACTTTAGCAATATATACATATATATAATGAAAGAAAATGGCAGATCAGTAAAGAAGATGTTCACTCAATATTGACCAAAAAATATAGAAGGAAAAAAAAAATATCAGCAACCACCTTACGAAAAGAATCAGGACCCATTTGCTTCTCTAACATCTGTAGCACTGATACCTGGTTTTAAACGATGAACATGTGGAAATTCAATGGCAAAATAACTCAAATAGTACATAAAGAATAACTGAAACCAGCATACTGCTTTCCACAAACGAATTCTTCCATATACACCAATTGTTTGAGTTCCATACAAATTACTACAAGCAGCAGCAGAGTACAAAGCAGTTGCCCCACAAGTATCAGCTTTACAAACAGCACAATTATCCTGTATATTAAAAAAAACAAAACGTGCACGTATATAAGTGGATTATATCAAAATCATGACAAACTGTATTCGAATCTTCTGAGAACAGTAAATAGTCAACCAAGAAAGCACATTAAACCATACAAAACTAAATGTAATAAGGTAGAATGAAAAAATGTGCATGCCCGTGCACACACAGCAGAACTAAGTTTAATACTACGAATTAATACACCATTCATGCTATATGTACCATGCCAAGAAGGATCTCTGATGGGGACATCAGATTTCGACACGTGTACCATCGCCAGAGACGCCGATCGACGGCCATGATTCAGAGCCTTTATTTTTTATGTTTTATTTTATTTATGTCATTTATATTTCATGTTTTTCCTTTTGTACCCCTATGAGGGAATTAGTGCTTATTGTAGCCCAAGGGCGTTGTCGTCTTTATGTATTTTATTTCTAGATAGCCTATATAAAGGCTTTGTCATTGTATTTGAAATTATTATTGAATGAATGAAAATTTTTCATTGTGTGATCTCTTTGTGAGTTCCAAGATCTCTTAGTGAGTTCTTAGCATGAGATCTCTTTGTGAGTTCTCCGTGTATTAGTTCCATTGATCTTCGCCTCACTCACAAACGACGCCATCCACACCATCAACTCGGAAGAAGTCGGACCATCCCCCCCTCTTGCCGCCGCCCCTAGACCTCCTTGCCGACCACCAACTTCACCGGCCGGCCTCCTTGCCGCCGGTCCTCCTCCCCTTCCGCCACCACCACTCCACCTCCTCATTCAACCCCTCATTGAAATTTGATTTTCAAGTTTCAATTTCTTTCCAAATTTGGAAATCTATTTTTGGAAAGTTTTCGAATAAATTCAAATTTTAAATTAAGATTTTATTTGGATTTTATTTCAGAAATTTTCAAACTTAGACTTCAGTTCTCAAAACAAAACCCTCTTCCTCTCACCCTTACTCTACCGCCGGCCTCCCCCTCCCCTCTCCAAACCGCCGCCCCTCTCCCTCCCTTTGGAGAGCCTCTTGCGGCGACCACCCTTTCTCACCTTCAAGAATGCATGGAGAAACCTGAGTGGAACTTCGGGTTTGAGTACGACAACCAAGGAAGAGTTAACATCCTCAAATCCCCATTCTTCGACGTAGGCTTTGATTTCGACAACACCGTCGAAGAATATTTGGATCGGATTCTACCAACACTACTGGATTCCATCGACGACCACTTTTCCATCTACACATGGATCATTAAAGGTCGTCCTCCCGTGCTACCTCCACATCCGGCGCCTTCCTCTCCTTCCCTACAGATCTACGGCACCGTCGCCCTCGTAGTGGTTTCATCACTTGTGTGGTTATTCTTCTTCCAACGAACCTAGAAGTAGTGAATGAGCGTAGCCTCAAGGTGAGACAATCGCTTTGCTAACCGCCGGATTCTAGTTGGCTTTTCATTTGCTTTACTATTTATTACCGTCGTTATTTTAGAGAACTTGCTAATTTAGGTGTAAACTCTTGCTTAAGCGTAGTCGAATTCTAAGATCTTTGAGAATGCTTCAATTGTGAACAACATTAAGATTGCAATTTCATTATTTGAACAAGATTTTATTAATTTTATAAATCCAATTCCTGGTTTCACATCAATCTCACCAGTTAAAATGATACAACAGAATGGAACAAATGTTAAACAATCGCACTTAGAAACAGATAAACTTAATTTTAACTGACTTGGTACTAGGAAAGCTTAATCAAGCCTCGGGATCAACTGCCAAAACTTAAACTAACCCTGTGATGACGAGCAGGTAGAATAAGAACCGGTGATATAAAGTGAAATAAGAGTTCGAAGAAAAAAAAAAGAGAGAGAACCATGGATGCCTATAGAAGAGAAGGCATGCAACAGAAAGATGGAAAAAAAAGCCTTATAATAAAAATAAGGGAAGACTTTATCTAGGAAAGTACCAAAGAAAGACAATAGCTTTCTACCATCATCACTCAACTAAATAAAATGGACCTAGGAACTATTTATAGAAATAATTCTTAATAAAATAATTACCCTTAAACAATTAAAAACATACTAAACTAAACCTGACTGACAAAAGATAATTGAACCACCAATAATTAACGTTAAAGATAAATAATTAAAATAAATAATACATTACATAATATTAAAATGAACAAAGTCTTATAATCAAGGACTGGCGTTGATGGGCACATCAGAGCTTTGAGGGTTTATCACGGTAGAGGTCGGAGATCTACGGCCTTGATTGAGTCTTTATATTTAGATGTAAGCACAAGTGTAAGAAAACTGAAACAAAGAGAACAATGGATAGAACTCAAACCAGACTCTATTCAAATAGTAGCAATCATCTATAACATTCAAAATCCAACAAAGAAAACACGAAGAGACTTAAAGAAACAAAGAAAATAGAAACAACACTATCCTCAGACAACCGTCAAAGCGGGTTCCTCACATGCATCGAAATGTAGGTTAAATAAGATAAGTGCATAGTGCTAGCAAACCGATGGTCCACCACTGCAAGATCGTCCAATTCTTCCAACAAATGCTTCCAAGTAAACCAACAAACACTACCAAAGCTCGAGAAGAAGGATACAGATGGAGTGGTACTTGCGGAGAGACGAAAGAGGTTAGAAGCCAAGACGAAGGGTGGAAAGAGCTCGCAAGATTTCCAGAGGAGGTGGAGAAGAAGAATGAACAAGCTCGCAAGCTTTTCCAATAACCCGCAGGTCAATAGCAAATTTGCTCACAATAATCAACTTACTCTTTCTTCACAAAACCTCTCATATTTATAGGTAAGAAAGGAGAATGCCAACAGCCACTTTATTGAATTTCCACAAGAACCCAAGCATCATAAGTCACGGATTTCCCCATTGCTTTTCACGAAAAAACAGTCCAGTCAAAGAACCGAAGAGCCAGCCACGGAAACAAGGTGTCAAAATGCACGGAAAAGCCCCCAGCTCGGAAAAACCAACAGCCAGCCGGAAACCCAAGGAGAAAAGGCACGGAATTAATCCAGCACAAGAAGCCCAAACACAGCCACGGATTCCCAAGAGACAAGTGAATGTTTTAAAGAAGAAAGGGGAAGAAGAAGGGACAAGTCCACTCCAAAAATTGAATCCAACTTATGAGCTTACCTTTAGAACATTAATGAGCTACTAAACTTCAGCTCATCATTAATGAGCTAGCAACAAATGAGCTCAATTCCAACCTTCTCCATACATTACCATAGGCCCCAAAACCGTGGACCATAAGCCAACCCGTAAACCAGCAGCAGCCAAGGACCAATCGAGCCAGCAAATCAAAGGTCTACCAAGCCCCACGCACAACCTACCATGTTCATTGAATGCTTTCTCATCATTGGATAGCTAAAAAAAGAAAAGAACATAAAACATACTAATGTTCAAATAAAAATAAAAATACATAAATATTTGATAGCATCATATTTTTAGCTTTCATATGTTGTAGGAAATTTCTGTGATGTTAATTATTTTATTTCAGTTTTACCCTCACTTGAGGGAGCTTTTGTGTTGTTTGGCAAAAGAACTTGTCTTTTGTCCTTTCATGTTTTTAATGCCTATATATATGACCATTATTCTCTTGTATGGATAATGAATATTTTGATATAAATTTCTGGTTATATGCTTTCTCTTCTCTTGGTGAGTTGAGTTTGTGTGTAAAGTCTTTTAGAGAAAAGCAAAAAAATACCCAACAGCGTGTCTTGGTTGGTATCATCTTCCCTCTCTAACTCTTTTTTCTCCTTCCCTGACCGCCCAAACACCCCCCAACCCCACCCCACCCCCCAGCTTCAGCAAACTGCTGCCCTCAACCAACAACCACCTCCCTCCATTCCTCTCATCCGCCCCCACCTTCTCCACAATACCCTTGACCTATGGGCTTCCAAAATTCTGCAATTAATTCACATTAATTGAGAATTTATCTCAATTAATTGTGACCTTTAGAGATCCACAACCACTTTAACTTTTTTCCTTCCCAAGTAAAATACATGAATCATTTCTCTTCCCCAAGCAAACAGCCTCACCTCCCAATTTGATTTTCCCCTTTCCCAAGCCAACTACTTCACTTCTGATGCATGCAAAATTCAGTTTATTTTCATTTTTTTATTGTAATTTGAATGCTATAGTTTTTTTTTTATTTTTTATGCTATCCTATGATGGAAAACATCCAATGATCATGAGTAGGTAGTGCTTGGGCATGGCAAACCTCGGGTGTGCTAGCTACTTGGGTTTTTGGTCTTTGGGCTGCTAATTGCCTCTCAGGTTGGGCTTGGCTGCTTGGTTTTGAGCTGTATTTTTTTTTTGGAGCTGCTTGGTTGTAGCTCATAAATGCTTGAGCTGATGTTTAGCTCATTTATTATGAAAAGTTATTCCAATGTTAGCTCATTATGTGGAGTGGATTCTTGTCTTCTTTCTATTCTCTTTGTCTCTTTAGTTTTCCTTGCCTGGTTGCCTGTTCTGGTTCCCCTGGCTAGTTCCGGCTCCCCTGGCTGCTGGTTCCGATTCACTGTGCTACCCCTTCGGTTTCTCCCCTGGCTGCCTATCATGTGGCTGCTTTACCCGGCTTTCTATGCAGTTTTTTCAGGTGTTGTTCTGGAATGATTTCTAGCCTTCTAGTTCCCCCTACCTGATTGGTTCAGTTGGAGGTTGAATGGATGTTTGGCTTCCCCCTTTTCTCTTATAAATTGGAGATGTTTTGAGACATAAAAGATTGTTGAATATTTGAGCAAAGTCTCTACAAAACCTGAGGGTTTCTTCTTCCTTGGAAAAACTTGAGAGCTTGTTCCATTTCTCTCTTCCTCTTCTCTATTTCATCTTTGGCTTCTAACCACTTCTTCTCTCCGCAAGTTCTACTCCTCTTGTATCTTTCTTCTTGAGCTATTGGAGATGTTTGTAAGCTGATTTGGTGACATTTGCCGCAGGAGTTTTGTTGGACGTTGGACCTTGTAGCTGTGGTGGACCTTTGGTTTGCAAGCCCTTTAAGCTCTTATTTTACTTTGCCTATTTTTTCGTTGCATGTGAGAAAAACGCTTGTCGGTTATTCTGAGTGTAGTATTTTTTAATTTTAATTTTGCTTCGTTTGTTTTGGTGTTTGTTTGGATGTCAGCATTCTAGTTTGAATTGAGTTTTGTTCTACTAGTCCTCTTTTGGCTCTTTCTTTCTAGTATGCCTGCATCACCTTCCCAACCAAGCCACAAGCCCCACCTCTTCACCTCCCAAGCCAACTAATTCCCTTCCCAAGCAAAGCACTTCAACCCTTTCTCTTCCTCAAGTATCCAACCACCACCACTTCACTTCTCAAGCTAAATTTACCCTTTCCAAGACATTAAAATCAGCCAAATCATCCCTCCCCTCCTCATGCAGCCGGCCTAGTTCACCCCTCCAAACCCAAAAATCGTGAGCTCTCCACTTCCAAATCCTCATATAGCTAAATCTTTCTTTTCTCTCCTCACTATTTTACCTCTCCAAGGAAACTTAAACTTCTACTAATGCGACAAGGTGACTGCATAATAACCCTCATTGCATTTGTCCATTCAATTAAATTGAGTATTCCCAAATCGGAAATCATTTATTGAAAATCAAATGTAGTAAAACCAGTTCAAAGCCAATTAGTCTACCAACCTACTAGCCAGCCTCCCACCACAATACAAACAGGGAATCAGTATGCTGAACTCACAATGTTCATTAAGGATACTTGTTGTTTGACATCATCAGAGTCTCTAAATCAAATGTAGTAAAACCAGTTCCCATATTTATCTTAATATCCTCTCTTTGTCCACACTCATAATAACTATCAATTCTTTTTTAATTTCTTAACCCATTGTAAACTTGAATTATGGATGTCAACTTTAGAGTATGTACATTTTCGTTTAAGCAGATCTAAAACTGAATATATGGAGTGTAATTTTAGTAATAACAGATCTAGCGGGGGGATTGTGACTTTGGGCGATCAAGTCATTAATAAGAGTACATGCTTTAGATATCTTGGGTCTATTGTTCAGAGTGATAGTAAAATAGATGGGGATATTATTAGTAGAATTCAAGTTCGATGGTTGAAGTGGAAATGTATCGGGCTTGTTGTGTGATAGAAAAGTCCCTCTCAAACTTAAGGAATAATTCTATAAGATGGTAGTTAGACCTGCAATGCTTTATGGCGCAGAATGTTGGCCATTAAAAGGGAAGCATAATATTAATTTAAGTGTTGCAGAGATGAGGATGCTCAGGTGGATGAGTGGCTTAACTCTTAGAGACAGGATACAAAATGAGCATAAACATTAAAAGGTTGGAGTAGTTCCAGTGGAAGATAAGATTAGAGAGAGTCGCCTTAGATGGTTTGGTCACATAAAATGGCGACCTTCTGATGACCCGATTAGGAAAGAAGATGTATTAGATTTGACTTATGTTAAGAAAGATAGAGGTAGACCTAAAAAGATTTGATTAGAAAATACCTTTCTTTATTAGATTTAGATGAGAATTTGACTCTTAACATGACACAATGGAGAAAAAGGATTCATATACCCGACCCCACATGGGATAAAGGCTTGTTGTTGTTGTTCCTAACCCATTGATTCATATATATAACCATATAATTGTAGTTTTACAAATTTTCTTAATGTAATCACGAAACTATTCCATTTCTACAAAAAGCATAGACAAGACACTGATATCTGGTAGGTGTAACATGGAAAGCAGACAACTCCAGCATGTTTCATTCTTCAAATTTCCATACAAAGCAAATGTAATGCTAAACAACACACAAAAGAAAAATGTCTTCAAGCTGCAATGCTTTTATGCAGCATACTACTGTTAATAGTGAACAGCAAAGCAACATGTTGAAGAAGAACTGTCAGATGATAAGCAATAATTACAAACCCTACCTGTCTGGCAACACCTGTTCTGGTCATCTTTGAATGGATGCATTAAGTACGTCAAATTTACGGCAACTCAAAATCTCGAAGAATTGAACTCAGAAAATTAGGTATAGAATTATTAATCATTTGTAAACTTAATGGTCCCTGTTTGCTACAGTCAATTCGCTTAGCAAAAGTGTGCGGAGCCACAAAACAAAATTTTATGTTTACTAAACCTCCACAATGATTCAGGAACACTAGCATCAGGCACGTGTAAAAAGCACAATGGTTAAATTTATACTTCACATTGCGTAAGAAAAACATACCTTGTAACGCCGGTACCTTGCCTCATTATTTCCCAGAAATCCTTTTATGAATGAGTCGGTAAGAAAACCAGCTAGGCCTTCCAATAACCATTCTGAAATCAACACAAAGTGACAAAACAACAGTCAAATCCGACCGTGGATTCTTCTAAATGATCATAAAGATACAGAACCAAACTTGTGAACGATACCATCATTCGGCTCCTCCGCAATTATGTAGACGCCAAACCACTGCCTTGCAAGGGCATAAGCAAGTTTGATTCTTGTTTCAATTGTCTATGCCAGAATAATATCATGAGAATGGATTTGATAAACCAACAGGGCAAAACAAGTCATAGCAACATAAGCAACAACGGCCGTTTTAACTTTTAAGCTAGATATAGAGCTCTTTAAATTCTCCATAGCACACATTCAACCAGCAGTGACTCATACAGTGTCGAATTCTTTCCATAGCATGTACATGTCAACACTTATTAATTTAGGGAAAGTATCCCAGTATTTCTGCAAACTGATTAAAGAGAAGCACACAAGCACCTTGGATGCATGCTCAGCAACGCCAAAACCACATGAAACGCATTTTGCCCATTAATTTGCATATGTAAAATTATCTGCATGTGCAACAACAGTTGCCTAGTATGCAATAAGTGATAATTTCTTGTTGCATCATAACACTCACCTTAGCATTGTGAGACCATGATGCTCAACTGAAACATGTTTCATCGCATCATCAAAATCACCATCACAATAATTAATCTAATCCCACTATTTGGACTTGGCTTCATGAAACCGCATTTTCCGTTCATACCCAAGTTGTCTATTTTGAGAAGTATTAAACCTCCTCACAAATCTTTTCAAACAACTTCATCCACATTACCTAAGGCATACCACATTCCATTACTAATTCTTCAACGCTCATTTTATTTATCCTTCTAATGGACAAATTTATTACACATCCAAAACACCCAAGGGAGCATTTGTTTCTTTGGGGATAGAAAGCATGCATGAGAAGGATCATGTTGGTTATTGCAAGGTTTGTTGAATCTATCCATCAAAAATATTTTTTAATAACATATCCATGCAACCTTAGGCCTTCCCCATTCATTACTAATCATTTAGCACTCATTTTATTTACTTATCTAATGGGTACATTTTCGAACCACCTAAGGGATCACTTGGTTCAATAAACTCATTATCCTTCAAAAATAATAATTTTGTTTTTACATTTTTTATTAGAAAAAAAAATCATAAATTTTGCAGCATTTTGAATGTGTTCTTAAAGTTTTAAATCCAAAAATACAACTAGCTAATGAAATTCAATAAACTCATTATCTTTCAAAATATGTTCTCTAGTTTCAAGCAACCAGCAACCAAAAGAGCCTTAAATTAATACTTAATTACATTATCTTCAAAAAACTATACTCCAAACACTCCTCTAATCATTCTGCAATTAATCATTCATAGTCAACACATCCATCATGCCGATACCATGTCTGCCTTGCTCCACGTAGCCATCAGTGAGTTTTAAACTACCTAACAAAGAGATCCATACAACATAATTAACCTGATTGTATAATAGTCCCACAGCACTTCTCTGTTTTGAGCACTCAGTCATAACTCTAAAACTTATTCCATTTATTTCCCCATTCTTCTACACAATAGACAGAAGATACTTAAATCTATCAAACCTAAAGATTAATTTATCTTCTAATAAAATTAATTAATAATCATTACTCTCACCCACCAAAATTGCATATCATATGTTAAATCTTTGTAATATTAAGTATAAACTTCTCATCCTCTAAACATTTCTTTAATTTTTTTTTAAATTATCCACTACTTTCAACAGATATCCCACCGATTACTACATGTATCAAGACACCTAACTTTAAATATCATTTGTGCATTTATATAGCAAATTAAAAGCATATAAACTTAATGCTAATCCTTGATGTAATCATCTTACAACTTTGTTCCTAAAACTAGTAAATACGCTATCATGCATATCCATAATAACTTCGTCAGACCTTTGACAGCTGACACAACTTTCTCCATAATGCTCAACAAGATAATTAGCCTTATGCTTTATCAAGATAAAATAAAGATTTAGGGTTTTTTTTATATAAGAAAAAAAAAAGATAAAATAAATATCACATAAAAATGTTTTCTCTATTTTCTATACTTAATCATTATTTTTTTTAACACAAAAATACTTATATTATGAATTTTCCTAACATAAAACAAAATTGGCTTTTTGAATAATGTAATTTTATCAAGTCTATGCTCTATTACATTTTAATAACGTCAGTATATGACATATAAGCTTCATTCGGGTAAAGCTACCATAATTTTGAACACATCTTGATTTGATTAACTTCGTGGAAATTTATCCTTTGGAATAATTATTAAAATTGTTTGGATAGGATATTTTGAATTTAGATTTGATCATATCAATTTATCCTTAATTCTATAATAGGAGAGTCTCACTTATAATAATCATGGAATTGGACGAAATAATGAATTAAGATTAAAGCATCTTGTGCCTTACTGTTTGGGAATTCTATTATAGGGTTTCTCCTCACTGTTTAATTTGTGCCGCTTGTCTCCCTCCTTTTGGATATTCAATCATCTATCTATTCAACCTTCTGCCCTCTACTTAATCTACTATTCCCATACACAATGTTGTGTTCTATTACATTTCTCTTTGTATGAATTTAATACCAGAGGCCAAACCCATTTTCGCGCATTCTTTCCTATTGTGATCGTCCTAGTGAGCCCCACAAACCCCTCTTTGTTTCCCATATAGTGCTCCAAACACACACCTATCAATGCAGTGGCCCAATAACCGCTTACCCACATACGCATCATGCAATTAAACCTTATATATAATAGTGAGGCTAATCATTCTTGTGCTCACTGCGCACTTTCTGTTGTGTTCATCAATATGTGTCATGCTTGACTACTTGTGCACTCAACTACTCGCACAATTCCTTGCACATTCTTGCATGCAACAAACACTTAAATGCCTCAACCATGATCTCCCTTATCGTCCTATCCTTCAACTACAAGCTCAACTCCATGCACACCCCACATTGTGCCCCCCTCAATCACAAGAGTCCCCCATCTTCAACAACTCGCTCTAACTTCATACTCCAACCTCTCATACACATTTTGCACATGTCGTACCTCCCTTGCTGCATATTACCCTGCATCGTTGCACTTGCAATAGCTCACATCCTCCACATCGCTCATGCCCTACCAGCGCAGCAAAACTCGCTTTCCCACACACTCAATTTTTAGATAGAGTATTACATGCCAAGCAACATAAGTGAAAAGATTTTTGAGGAATTTTTTCTTAAGAATATAACTACATATATTGAGACTTCTATGCTGATGTAGGCAAGGGGGGTCAAAACAAGTTAGATTTTATTTTGTTGGGTTTCTTTATCTCTATTAAAAATCAGCTCATTAATGAGCTTCTTCTTCTTTATCAGCTCATTAATGCAATTAATTAGATTCATTTCCCCCTACTTTGGCTCCTAGGTTTCCCCCTCCTTGGTTCTTCCCCCCCATGGCCGGTTCTCTTCCCCTTCCCCTTTGTCTTCTCAGTTTCTGCTGGCTGTTGTTGTTTCCACTCGGTTTTACCCCTCTTGGCTGCTTTTCCCAGCCTTGTCTCCTGTGATGGCTCTTTGGGTCCCTTGCTGGCTGGTTTCTCGTGGCTGCTAGTGGGGTTTTCCGTGATTTGCTTCCCTGTTTTCTGTGCAGAAATTCTGCTGGTTGTTCTATAATTAATGCTAGAATTTTGGAAGCTATTTTTGGACAGAATTTGGACAGCCTTTTGCCCTTCCTCTTCCCCTTATTTAATTAGTTTTAAATGAACTTTTAGGTGGCTGTTTGCCTCCGCTTTTGTGCCTATATATAGAGAGTTTGTGGTTGTTTTAAGAGGTTGGTTATGTGCTGATTTTTTGGAAAGAAACCTGGAGTTTTTCTTGGATAGCTTGCGAGCTATGTCATTTCTTCCTCTCCTTGTCTAGGAAAGCTTGCAAGCTTCTCCTCCTTCGTCTCGATCTCTTATCTTGTTCATCTCTCCGCAAGTGACCACTCCACCTATATCCTTCTTTTCAAAGCGACAAATGGCAAGCTTCTTTAGGAGTCGTTTCTATGTCATGTTATGTTGTAAGCGTCTTGTAAGAGTCCTCTATATTATAAAAAGTATCTCTTTTTGGGTATTTTTGTGTCTTTTCTTTGTCCTAGGAAGTATAGCTTTTGCTTGCAAAAATTTGGGGCCCTTCCCAAATTTCTGCTCGCATCAATTTGGTATCAGAGCAAGTTATCGTGTGTATCTTGGTGAGTCATAGCAGTTGTTGTGTGTTGAGTCTTTTTTAGAAAAATTGAAAATCACAAAAATAGTGATCCAGTGGAAGAATGCAAACCAGAATATCTTGAAGTCCCTCTTTCGATGGACAAATGAGTTCCAACAGTAGGTGATTCGACATATCCCCTGCAGAATGAGATTTACAAACTCCAAGTGAAGATGCATTTGTATACGGAGCGGTACATGAAAACGAAACAACTTTTACAAGAACAATTCAAGAAAGAGCGAGAAGAAATCCTGAAGAAATATGCGGCAAAGATTGAAGAATTGGATTCAGAGTCTACATCTCATAAAGAAAAATTTAAAGCTTCCTCGTCAGGAGATGAGCCTTTTTAAGTGGGGGAGAATCTGATGTATGCAAGGGAGGTCAAAACAAGTTAGATTTTATTTTTGTGAGTTTCTTTATCTCCACTAAAAATCAGCTCATTAATGAGCTTCTTCTTTTTTATCAGCTCATTAATGCAATTAATTAGATTCATTTCCCCTTACTTTGGCTCCTTGGTTTCCCCCTCCATGGTTCTCCCCCCTCCCCAATGGTCGGTTCTCTTCCCCTTCCCCTTTGTCTTCTCAGTTTCTGCTGGTTGTTGTTGTTCCCACGCGGTTTTACCCCTCCTGGCTGCATTTCCCGTCAAATGTTGCCTTGTCTCCTGTGCTGGCTCTTCGAGTCCCTTGCTAGCTGGTTTCCAATGGCTATTGGTGGGGTTTTCCGTGGTTTGCTTCCCTGTTTTCTGTGCAAAAATTCTGCTGGCTGTTCTATAATTAATGCTAGCATTTTAGGAGCTGTTTTTGGACAGAATTTGGACAGCCTTTTGCTCCTCCTCTTCCCCTTAGTTAATTAGTTTTAAATGAACTTTTAGGTGGCTGTTTGGTTCCCCTTTTGTGCCTATATATAGAGAGTTTGTGG